GCACCACAAAGTTAAATTGTGTCATCTGTTATAGGGACTACTGAACAGACATTTAGAAGTTGATTTTAAAATGCAAAGTATTGAAAATAAAAATAAAGCTCTGTAAACACTTGCATTTTTACAACACTCTACACTTCTACACACACTTGTGGTCTTCATGCTCACTTGAACACTTGGACCAAATACAGGAAATACGTCATAGAAGTAGTCAAGTGGTCAAGTGCAAAGACTGCAAGTGTGGGTATTTGGACAAAGCATCTGTGAGCAGCCCACACTATGGGACTGTCCACATTAATCCAATGATGGCCTGGTGTGGGCCAGACATGAGCCGGTTAATAAGAATTTTGTGGTCAGTTTTCCTCTGAGTGTTTTAGGTTTCCTTAAGTAAAGCCATGTGGTAAAGAGAGTTAGCAATAGCAAGAAGCAGTAGCCATCATGGCTCACCTGCTGAACACATGTATGTATGGCCTATGTTTGGATTGATGCTAAGAGTTAAGAAGGATGCTAAGAAGAACTCTTTATTGGTGAGGTTACCACATCATGGTCCAGTTTGAATATGGATTTAAAGTTCTTTAACTTCCATTAAGATCCAGTCTGGACTATTTTTTTATTGTTCCTGGCTAGGAAGAGTGGTGTGTTTTTATTACAAGAGGTTGGATTATTAATTTGCTATCAGCCAACTTCAGCTATGGACAGTGTTTGGCCATTGATGTAGGCTACTACAGATGAGACTTTCGCACACAATCTTACATTGCTTTGTTTTTTGTACTTTTGTGTATTTAAATTTTTGACTATATGTTGCTGTATTAACCTGAATTTAATGTTTTATATTTTGTATTTAATAAATCCATTGATCTGAAATCCCTTTGACTACTGTACATTTTTGACAATACAGACATTAGTTATGTGGTGACTGCATCCATTTCAGATGTATTAGGGTTGCACAATTAATCGAATGGATGCCACAATTACGTAATCGTTCAATGCAGCAATTAATCGTTCAAAGTCCACTTGTTATTCTGCACGCTTAAGATATGTTTTTTCTTTCTACATGTTATCTTAAGGGGTTTTCCATTGTTTTAGTTTTAGTATAACATTATAATACCATTCATATTTTTACTTTATTTATAATTTAAAGAAGAAACCAACCCAATGTATATTTGACATTTGAGGCTTAATACCGTTACTATAGAAAAGCACTAAAGGTTTTTCAGTTAGTGTTTTCAGCTTGCTTATTTTCATATAAAAATACGGCATGCAGTTGCATCAAACAATGGTATAAACATCATTCAATGTAAATTGTGGTAATCGTAATTAATAATCGCAATTACAATTTCAAGGGAATAATCGACAATTATGATTTTTGTCATAATCGTGCAGCCCTATGTATACTAACTGATTTTCCCAAAGACTTAAGTTATAGTAGCTGAAAAGTATTTAAAGTGAAACAGATGTATTGTTATAGATCAGGGGTGCATCTTGTTCCTGGAGATCTACTTTCCTACAGAGTTCAGTTCCAACCCTGATTAAACAAACCTGTCTGTAATTATCAAGTGCTCCTTCAGGGGCCCGTTCTTCGTACGTCGCTAACTCTGTTAGCTGGATTTGATTGTTGATGATTTGGCATGATCTTGGATTGTTTGGTTCTTCGAAGCTCATCCCGGAGTT